TAAGGGCTTATATTTTCGTATTTATTATAATTTTGCTAATAACTTTGGTTTGAAAAAAGATATCAGCATGCGGTTTTCGCTGGCTTTTTAAGCTTTTATTACTCTTTACTATCAGCTAAAATTACATATGTATTCTATCGCATTTAATTTTTTTGAACAAACGCGCAATGTTTGTTCAATTGTAAGACAGTACCCCCTAGCGTCTACATTCAAAAGCCTATTATTATTGTATATACGGTATAATATAGAGTAAGAAACTCTCTTTTAAACGAGCCCCCGTTTGTTGGATTCCGTTCATCCAGTCCGGAGTTATTAATATTTAAATAAAAACAGATCTAACCTTCCCCCACCACTTTATTGTGGCAGATAGGGAAAAATGGTTCTAATGAAAAATATTCAAGATTTACTGGAGATTATGAAGTTATTATTTATAGTACCCGTTATCTAGGCAAAATTGTGTAAAAACTCCTTTTTCTTATTTTTTTATAACAGTTGCGCCTCCTAGCGGCCGTTCTACAAACTTGAAAATAATTTTGAGCAATTTCTCATGGAATATTTTTATCCGCAAGCTCTATAACTAATACTTTCCGAGATACAGCCGAGAGCTATTCTTAGTGGAACAGTCCTTCTATTCAGTCCAAATTTCAACTTGTGGTAGCGGATAAAGATCTCACCGAAGAGATGAGATCTTTCGACACGCTGAATATTTTTAATTGCATAGACCACTGATTTGGCGGGAACTGTACTAGACTATACTCTAACAAAATTATCTTTTATAAAAGTTGATCGTGTAGTGTGAAAAGATCGTTATCGATTTGGTCTTCAGATCTGAACTGTGCGATTTGGCATGCAGATGGAATCGTTGCGTATAGGGCCCCTTTTATTGCAACAATAAGCAACTTGACAAAAAAATTAAATTGGAAAAAAACTGTCGGTCATAATTACATATTGTATGAAAATATGTATCATAAAAAATATCCCAAACGGCCATTTCGATATTAATGCTCCGAAATTCAAGTTATTTCAAGCTGCTATAAACAGGCTAGTATTGGTCGTGACGTCAGAGAAATAGCTACTCTTTGCCGTCACGACCAATGAGTAGGTTATTTATTTTTAATTTATTGTTCGTTAATCGTTAAGTTTTCTGATTTGATATTGTGGATTTTCTTATTAGAAATTAAGACCTAACGTGTCATTTATTTATAAATTAGTAAGACTATTGGTATTATTAGCTGCAAAATTGTATATCTTTAGACATTCTCTTTCATCTCATATTCGACTTAAAACCAGTATAATACTTTTAATACTTTAATCCTTATTACTACTTTAATATCCTTTAATATGATTATAATAATACTTTAGTCATTTAATCCTTACCAAATACTTTAATCATTACAAATATTCTGCAAATCAAATATTGATATTTTCCTGGATTTTATTAGAAAGATTTAATTTCCTTTTTTGACGTTTAATTCGTTTGTTTTGTACAATGGCTCGTCATGTGCGCTATGCACTATATCTATTTGTATTTAAATATTAAGCTACATTGGGGAGGGGGAAGACTTGGCCTGATGATGATCAATATACTCCAAATATACTCAAATAATTTGATTGAAGACAAAATTAAATTGCCGTTTGAATATTTTAGCTACATGTATTTTTCATGAAATTAATTAATAACTATACTGATGTTACATATAGTGATGGATAAATTTTGTTCAGAAAGAATACTACGATATTAATGACCGTCAATTGTATATGTCATCTGCCATTTTAGTTCAAAAGTAAATCATTTTTGTAGTATTTTTTTCTGGCTTTCCATATCGACAGCTATCGTACCTATATGTATTTAGAAAACTTCATTTTAGTTATAGATTTATTACTTAGATAGTATAATCTGGTTGTAAATTAATAATGTTATCATCCAAGACAATATCAACTTTCTTTACTTATGATATGAAATGTTTAAATCTATCACTTTTGGGGGGAGAGACAATATTATTTGTGACAGAGACTGAAAGATTATTGAGACAAACATTACGTCTTGTTATTATAATACATAATATATACAGATTAGTTTATGCCATATTTTACTAAAATTCACGCATTTCTATAGAGATAACGTCTTGCGTGTTAAAATATACAGGGTGGTCCCAACTGTATTCCGGAAACTTCGGCAGCATATTCTGCACATAAAAATAAGTAAAAAAGTTCGTATAAATATGTCCTAAAATGCTTAGTATTTAGTATCGTAGATACAGGATGTAGAAGTTTCATTTTTATTTCGATTTTTTCCAAAATAATTTCTGAAGTAACGGTAATATTTGGATGAAAATTGACGTCTGGGAGTTTTTTGACATGAGAAATTTGATTTTGATGTCAATATGACTCCTACTTGTAGAGGGCCCCACCAACATATTTTTTAACTGGTTTGAAGAGTAATAACTTTTCGTCGGTACCTGTATAAAACTACTAAGTAAAAAATATACATTTACGGAGTTTTTTTACGTAAAAAAGATCTCTTGGTAAAAATTGCAACGAGTGATGGATATTTGGAATCAAAATTATCAATACCTATCATCATTGACATAAATTAAACATGTGGACTGAAATCATAAATTTGAAATGTTTTTGTGTCAAAAGTTCCACAGAAACTGTTATATCACCATTTTTTTGTAGAAAAGTTTATAATTAATTTAAAAAAATATAAATTTCCCAAATTTCAGTTAATAAACTATCTACTCAACATGTTAATTTTTTGTCAATAATGACATGTATTGACTTTTTCCATAGTCACCAGGTTTCAAGAGACATTTTTTACGTAAAAAGTCCCGGTATGTATATTTTTTCACCCCATAGTTTTATACGGGTACGGACGAAAAGTTATTACTCTTCAAAACAGTTATGTAACACATGTAAGTGGCGCCCCCTACAAATAGGAGTCATATTAACATCAAAATCAAATTTGTCAGGTCAAAAAACTCCAAGAAACTAATTTTCATCCAGATATTGATGTTACTTCATATATTATTTAAAAAAATTGGCGCTGGGAGGCACGTATAGCCGCCCATACTAAAATATGTTAATATCTCGAAAAATGCGACTTTGACTGATTTTGATGTTATTACAAATTTTGTTGCAAATATTATTCCTAATCTTAATTTGAAAACCGCGTTTCGCTAGCTACTGTAATTTTGGAGTTACGATTTTTTTTAATTTTTAACCCCTTCCTATACCCCCTTACCAACCCCCCACCCCCACCAAAAACTAATGGCCAGATTCTCGGGTGCCACAGTATTTTTGTACCAAATTTGGCTAAAATCGGTTCAGCGGTTTTTGAGTTATCGTGTTACAGACGGCAGACAGACAGATAGATAGACAGACAGCCAGACAGCCAGACAGACAAACAGACAGACGGACACCACGAAAATATTTTGTATTTAGGTCATTTATGACCCAAATAACTCATTTTGAGTGAAATTAAAAAAACTTTTTTTTTGCCGATCCTAATAGCCTACCATACCTATTGGTATGGTCGGCTAAAAAATAAAATCAGGAAACTTCTACACCCTGTATTGCCGAAACTAAGCACTTTAGGACATACATTTACACGAAGTTTTTTACTTATTTTTATTTGCAGAATGTGTTGTCGAAGTTTCCGGAATACAGTTCGGACCACCCTGTATATTAAATATGTCACCTTAATAAAAACTTGGTACTCCAGTGAACTACCAGTAAGCAAAATTTTAGGAAAATTAAAATAACTTTGGTTGCACATCATAACACGACCACCAGCAAACTCCATAAGACGACGCATGGTGTCATTGTTGACGTGCAACGAAAGTTGTTTAATTTCCCTTTATCTGTTTTTTTTTGCTCGTTATCAGGCACAAGGAGGGCCTGGTAACGTAACGACGTCACCTAGAATACATTTCCCTTAAAGGAATAAAACACTCACTGGGCTGAGACGTATACACTAAAAAATTGATTCATTGGTTTTAGTTTGACAATTTGCCCGCCATTGTACAAGATAGCATAATTGCCGTAAAAAAACTCATCGCAACTTTATTAGAATATTTTGAACTGGAAAGCGCTAGTACTGGCCCTTTATGTCCCTTAAGTGCTGGTTAGTTTAGCGTTAAGTTTGGCGTAGATTTTGCACACCCTGTATGATTTGATATTACGATATTTATAGCAAAGTAAGTATAGGCTATCCAAAGTAAATGCCTAATATAGTTTGATTCTAAACCAGTTCTTGTATTTGTAATATTTTTTTAAGGAAGATTGTCAGAGGAACATCGTCTGTTGATATTGAAAAAGTTTTGCTTGCCGTATCGGTGAGAACCAGCCCCTGGAGAACCCACTTGATGAAGGGTAGGCCCAGAAACCGGTTGTGGGAGTGGAGCTTGGTTCCCCCCTTTACGACAAGCAAAACAATTTTCTTTTTACTTTTTTTTTCTCTACTTTCGATTTTTCGAAATTAGAAAAAATACACAGCTAAAGGCTAGAAAATATTATTTATTAAGTAAATACCTAATATAGTTTTGATACTAAACCAGTTCTTGTATTTGTAATATTTTTTTACAGGAAGATTGAAAAATATATATTTTTTATTTATTTATTAATATCTCTGAAACCATCGAAATATATTTATTCATATCTTAGGATTATGTAAAGTGATCTGAAAGGAAGCAAAAAATGCAATAACATACAGGCTGTTCCATTAAAAAACATCTTCCCGATCACACTCACACTTCTTTGAGCCACCCTATCGAAGTCAAAATATTTTCCTGAAATACATCCTCGTACATACTTTAAGTTTGCACAAAATTCCCAAATTTTTAATTCTAGAAGCTACAGATGCCCGACGCACTATTGCCGAATTCTGTACAATACATTCTTCTGTGATATTGCCAGATTTTGATCATTTGAAATGAAAACCGTCAAAGAAGGCGTTCGTTTTGACAAATGGGACAAATTTAAATATAGTATTGTTTTACCTGAAGAAACACCTTAAGCCTATCCAAGGGGGCCGTACACGTCCTAGAAACAGCTCCTGCTACTCCTCCTGCTGCTAAGTGACGCCACCACATACCAGTTTGCATTTCACTTTGTGTAAAGTCATCAGGAATGTTCATATCCTCTCCAATATCCAAATACTGGAAAAAAAAGTATTCCAAATATAAAAATAAAGAACAATTTAACTAAATAATGCAGATTTGGAATATTAAATTCCATATATTTTGTAAAGAGCATACATCAATCCTTATTTTTAATTAGCATGAATATGGATTTTTTTTATCATTCTCAATTTATATTTTCTAATTATTAATGGTATAAAATAATGCATTATTTATTTTCAAAATATGTATTGGATTTGTATCAATTCTAAACGCAGATCGTTTATATTGCTTCCCCTTCCCGTTATTGTTAAGAATATTGAATATTTATGTAATGTTATTTTTTAACAGAATGTCAACGGAATAGATTTTTCTGTTAAAAAACTGTTCTCTGAGTAGATATTTTTAGACATTTTAACAGTTTTTTTTATTTGTCTCTGAACTCTTGACTTGAAACGAAATATGACTCCTGAAACGTATTCTTGGTCTTTTAGGTCAATTTGTTATACGAGAAAAAGTCACTGATAAGATAGTTTCCGTTTGGATTCGACGCAATGTTGTTTACAAAATCCAACTTTTTATTTTTTTATATTCTCTTTCAGTCGTGAAATAATAGGTAGGTTTGTTCCAACACAGAGATTCTAGACATTTTTAACAGTTTTTACAATGAATACAGGCTACTTTTTGAAGAGGTTTAGAAAAAATAATAAAATAAAACATGATATTATTTTATATTTATATTTTCAGAACAATTTTTGTAATTTGCGATCTCCCTCTGCAGGTACATTTAATACTTTATATAATGTCACTGAAAAAACTGCCAGCGATATACTAGCGGCAACATAAAAATCATCTAACGCCGCTCACTCAAAGTCTGATGACAATTATTGATATTTTTATCACGGATAAGGTCAGCTTCGATAGCTGACTTTTTGTGTTCCCATGTGTTGTCTATTCTTTAAGCCCTAATAGTAAAATAAAATAGGCTGACCACACTTGATGATGCAAGTATTAAAAATAATGACTATACATTTCTTAAAAGGTATTCTACAAAATAAAAAAAACAAACTTTTTTTGTAAACACCACTGCGTTGAATCCAAATAGAAACCAGTTCGTGTATTATTTATATTATGGCGCACTCTGACAACTCGTGTACTTGACAAACATTTGTTATTGGTATACAAGGTATACAGGGTGCGTCGGGCATCAATACAAAATTTCAAGTCAAAGTTATTTATTATAGGACCTACGCCGCGCCGCCGCACTATCGCCGGACGCTGCATGTCAATAAAAAATGTGTTGGCCAAGTACACGAGTCGTCAGAGTCCGCCTTATTACGATATGTATTAGTTATATTTTATGTAATGTTATAGACATTTTCATTTTTAATTCAAATATGTAACGTTTTTTTTTCAAATTTAGTTAAAAGTTAGTTTATGTTGTTTGATAAACAAGTTAACTATGTTTTTGTTCACTTGTTTTCATTTGTGTTCGTGTTAATTTTCTCATGAATGATTACTTAATAATTTGATATTATTTTCATTAAAGCAAGCAACAATTTTTTATCGATTTTACTTTTGAAAACCATCCCTTGCTTGCTCATTGACGAACTACACCAATATCGACCAAAAATTGGCTAGTACTGAATGTACCGAAAAAAACGGGAAATCCCGGTTCCTTAGAGGCGTAGTACCGGGAATTCCGGTTCCTCTATAAATAAATATTTAATGTTTTTGTATATCCTTCTGACTTCTGATAAAGCAAATTATTTTTTGATAATCATAATTTTCTAATCATTTTCTTTTCTACGGTTTTCATTTGATATGAGTCGATTAAAATATAAAAAATTAGTATACATATATTTATTAATCAACTTACAGATTTCTTAATTAAATTATCTTATCCTAAGTTACTCTTAATTAAGAAATGATAAGATATATAAAAGACGAGTCTAGTGAAAACTAGATGTAAGATTCTTAAGTCTAGTTGTCACTAGATTGTAATATACCGGGTGCGTCTCAAAAGTGGCTCACCCAAGAACGAGATTTGGTAGGTTAGTATATGACATAAATTAAGATTGACGTATTCAATTGTTTTTGGTCACTTCCTGTTTCACAGGAGATGACTACAACTTTTGATTTTTAAATGGCACCCTCGGTATATTATTACTTTTTTCGATAGAAAATGACATTTTGAATAGAATAACATCATAATGTCAACTTTTGCTTAAAACAAAATCGTATTTTAAATTTCAATCTAAAGTGCCATGGCAATGTAAAAACACTAATTTTTAATCAAGAAGCCTTGGAAAAATAGATTTGATCGTTTAATGTTTTTCGTGTCTTGTCCTGGCCGGTTAAAAAATGCCTAAATCTATTTTTAATTATATCTCAACGAGGGTAGCTCATTACCGTATTTCGAAAAAGCATTTTTTTACGAATAATTTGGTACTACACACTTGGTATTTCGAGACATATTATCATTAATAACCGCATGTTACAATTTCAAATAAACCATATGCGAGAATGTTAAAAGTTGACATATGATATTATGTCATTCTATTCAGAGTGTCGTTTTCTATAGAATAAAGTAAAAAAATACCGAGAGTGCCATTTAAAAATCAAAAGTTGTAGTAATTTCCGGTAAAACAGGAAGTGACCAAAAAAAAAATGAATACGACAATCAATCCTAATTTATGTCATGCCAAATGTCGTTTTTATATCTGAAAAAATAAAATAGTTATAGGGGTTATAGGATCCACTTTAGAGACGCACCCGGTATAAGAGGAAAAATCTTGTAAATTTCTTGTCTATTTGTACCTGTAAGTACTAGTATTAAATATAACACGATAACATTAAATACATATTTGATTATTGCAAAAATCAAGTTTAAGTTGAAATCTTTATTCGTTATATTATAAAAATCATATATTTTTCAGCATATATTTTAGAGAATGTATATAGTATTAAGTGTTTGAATTGATTTTCCTGTTGTTTAATATTCATACTGCTCAAGGTAAAATCTGATTTACTACGACTAAATTGTCATTTTTAAAATGTAGTATATTTAATAAGTATAATAATTTATCGAAATATGAAAATAATCGAAGTTCTAGTTCATAGCGATAATATACAATTCCAATCGGTGTCGAATATCAAAGTCCGATTGGAATACCGCACGTTGAATAAATAATTAAAATTTTGAGATTTAAAGCAATTTTAACGGTTTCTATTCCAATTACCAACCAACCTCTAAAAATAAGTCATATGTATAAACAGTACCTGAAGCATCCAGAAACTAAACGCAAAGACATATTTTTTCTTAAATTTCCTTCGGCTCGTTCTAATGATAATGCCCTTCCAATTATAAAGTAATACAACCGTTGGAAACATGTTACTGTCGTTATAATAAAGAAATTTATAAACCGAACAATTCCACACAAAATTTCAAACTGATATTACAAAATACTTAAAAAATTTCCAGACAGTGAGATTGTATAGAGAGGTCAAATGTAATCTACTAAAGGGTAGTCCAAAAAGTAATTATTTCATAGATAAATTCTACTCAATGGGTAAACAATGGATTTCAATTTAATCAGTAACAAAAAGAACGTTTTACATACTAAAGAATCACTAGATAAACTTTGAAATAAAATTGAGAACAGAGAACAAATAAAAACAAAGGCAAATTATAGTTTTGTTGGAAATGAATGTAAAATACAAATATTTAAAATTTTGCTGTACGCCTCTGATAAAGTGATTGCTTCATAGCGTTCGTGACGTAGAGGAATGCGAAAACAAAGGTCGTCTTGCTAAAAGTGAAATTAAGTTGATACTGCCCAGGGCTAAGTAGTAAAAATAAATGTAACTTTTGCTAGTAACTAATCGGTCTTTCAGAATCTAGTAATACAAAATTAATGAAATTATTAGAATGATAAATTTAAATAACGTTAATAAACGTCTCTTTGGAAGTTATCTTTAAAAATATATATTTAAATACTATTTATTATATATTATAGTTAATACTGTGTGGTAAATATCAATGCTTAGTTATTTAAATATTTTCTTGGACAATAAACCAAGTTATCGTCAAGAATATCGTCGTCTAAAGAATCCATTAATTATGAAGTAAAATTATAAATAAAACCGTATGATCGAGAAAAAAAAACGGCGTTCGCTTGGCTTTGAAACGACGATCGATGGCATCCCACATACAGGGTCGCTGATATGTATGGGAACGGTCGATTATTAGGTAAAATATAAGAGGTACCGCAAAAAGTTAAATATAAAAGTTATAGGGTTTTTAAATATTTATTAGAGGATAATAAATTTAAGTATATAGGGTCGATCATAAAGTCGTGGCCCATCAAAGTTTCATTTTTTTTAAATGGAACCCCCTGTATATTATTGCATATTTCGGTTCTTCCTTCAATTCAAAGCAAAAGTCGAGATACACACAATGTAGGTACCTCAAACCAACCGTTTCCGAGTTATTGACTTTTGAAAATAGATATCTACTTAAACAATTCGATTTAGTTAATTTCGACGTGTTTGGTTTTCATTCAACTATGCCAGGCGGCGGAAACTGTGATACTTAACCCTTAAGTACTCGCCTTTGTTTTATGGACGTAAGTACTCGAGTAATGTAAATAGTTAGTAGAATTTATTTAAATTGTGCATTTTTATATAAATAAATTATATAGAAATACTAGCGTGTACAAGCGACTTCGTTTTCCAGACTTGATATTCATCGTTAAATGAAACCGAACACATCGAAATTAATTAAATCGAATTGTTCAAGTGATATTTTCAAAAGTCAATAACTCGGAAACGCTTGGTTTGACGTACATTGTGTGTATCTTGATTTTTGCTTAGAACTGAAGGAAGAATTGAAATATGCAATAATATACAGGAGGTTCCATTTAAAAAATGAAACTTTGATGTGCCTTTATAACCCACCCTGTATACTTAACTTTATTACTCGCTAATAGATATTCAAAAACCCTATAATTTCTGCGGTACCTCTTATATTTACCTAA